GAATTGAGTCCTAATAAGGAGGAAGACAAACTAATAGTTTAATGAAGTTTAGTGGCCTCACGGCACAATGGTAGCACTGTATATATATTATATGGAGTAGCATGTCTAACTCCAGAAAGGTTATAGTCAAATAGCTTTTTCTTTAGAAAGTCAGTAGCAATGGGTTTCACTGCAAGACTACCAATTGTTTACACAACACAGCTGTTTTGTAAAACTTTCAGGTGTATGAAATCAGTAATAGTCATTTACTTTAAAATGTGTAAAGATGGGATTCGAGATTTTAGCACTCCAAAAAGCAAGGTCTAAGTTTAGATTCATACAGAATTGCTTTCTCTAAAATACACTTTTCCAGATTAGATGACATTCTTTAATGGGACTTCTGGGGCCGCTTATCAAAGTGACTTAGAAATACAGAGAATAAGGAAATTTGGTTCCTTATTCTATTCTCCACTAAAAGCAGAGTAGTTCATGAGGCACTGCTGTTTTAGAAATGTAAAAGTCTTCTAAAATTCTCCAGGAAAGGAGATAAGGTAACTTTAAAATAAATAAACTGGACTCGGAGGCTGACAAGAGACTTTGAAATTCCCATTATACATTTCAGAGAACAGAATCAATAAACAACCTTTTCTTTGTTAACCAACCATTATTTTACCTATCATCTTTTACTCAGCATAAAAATTTTCCTTTTTTAAAAAATACGTTCAATTAGATTTCTATTTTCCTTGTTATATGTTTGTACACTTTTCAAATCATGTTTTAATGTCTTTAAAACAATTCATTATTTGTAACTATTGACTTCTTACCAGACAGAGTCCGCACATAATTCCACAATGTGTCTTTATTTGTCCAAAAGTAGTCTCCATTGCCAACTGAAAGAGTGTATGACCGTTCATCCATAAGCCCGACTTTCCTTCTACTGTGTCCTAATGAACATGGCTGACCTTCTAGGCATACAGAGCTCTTTGACCCACAAACCTTGACACTCTTTAAGCCAATAGACTTCATTTCTAATCAAACAATTGCCTTCAGGTTTAAACTAAGTAGGAAAGAAATACACCACTTTTTCAAAACTGAAAAACGTCAGTTAACTGAAAGCACAGACTCCTTCCAATATAGAATGTTAATAATCCAAATCTGATTGGAGGATGACCATAAGCTATGCCTGTCAAAACTTAGCTCCAATAATGTTCAAAACTTTTCCACAGAAAAGAAAAATGTTAAAAGGCCTAAGGAGGTTTGGTGCCTGTAGCTCAGCAGCTAGGGCGCCAGACACACACACACACACACACACACACAC